TTAGCATTATTTAAGGTTTCAAATATTGTATCTAAATTTTTTGAATGAGATTGTGCGTCTGGACTGAAGACAATTATGTCATCGATATAAATATAACAGATTTTCCCTATGTCTTCCCTAAGAATGTCGTCTAGGGCACGCTGAAAAATAGATGGTGCGTTTTTCAGTCCAAATGGAAGTCTTGTGAACTCAAATTTTCCGTTATTCACGGAGAAGGCTGTCTTTTCTATATGGCTTTCTTTTAAAAGAATTTGATGGAACCCACTTTTGAGATCTAACACATTTATTATTTCCCAGTTGTGCAAGAACTGCATTTATGTCTGGTATCGGGTATCTGTCTGCTATTGTAACACTATTTAATTTTCTGTAATCTATTACCATTCTATATTTCTTTACATTTAAGGCATCTAATTTTTTTGGTACAATCCACACTGGTGAATTGTAAGGCGATCTAGAGGGTCGTATTATATTGGTGCCTAAAAGTTCTTTTATTTGTCGGTCAATTTCGTCTTTGAGTGCCATTGGATATTGATAGAATTTCGAGTAGACTGGTATGTCAGTGTTTGTACGTATCTCAGCTTTCACGTTTGTTGTGTAAGTCAATTTTTCGTTTGGTTCGGCAAAAAGATTCGGATATTTCTGAATAAGTTGGTTAAGATCTGATTTTTGTGTCCCAGTAAGATGATCTGTCCGAGGAATAATTAAATTTACAGCTTTGAATTTTTTTTCTTTAATATTAAAAATTTAATTATTGTATTAGGGTCGTTAAATAAATTGGCTGATTTGTGATGTGTAATTTTAATACTTCCGCCAACCGAGATGGCGTCAAACGGGGATTTATTTTCTATAGGATTTTTTACGAATTTTGGCAAGATGTAATTATTGTTTGAACCGGTATCAATTAATATTTTTAAAATTTCTCCACTCTTCAGTTTGCATTCAAAATATGGCAATGAGGAGTTTGTTAGTCTATAAATTAAGGGAGGTATAATCATATTGGTATTCTTGGTCGGCTTGGTTTATGGATTCAGAATATTCTGTTTGGGATTCGGGATATTCAGATTGTGATTCGTCCTGTGATTTTATGGTTTCGTTATATTCGTTAAGGGAAGGTGTTTCATCTTCCACTTCTGAAGAAGTGTAAGGAGCTGCTTGAATATTAAAATTTCTGGATTTTTTTACGGCTTCGTTTAGAGGCATTGGTGGTCTTTTACCAGCTTCGAAACGTATGGGTTTGTTCATATAATTGATTATTTTGATTGCATGGTCCTGTCGATGTCCATGGGTTCTGGTCGTGGTTGTGGCTTTACAGCCAAAGGTCGAGTCGGAGGAAAGTTTCCTGAAGGTCGAACTGCAGTATATTGTGGGACTGGTGGAATTTGATTGTTATTGTAGAACTGGGGTCGTGGTTGATTAAACATATTATTATTTTGTCTAGGTGGAACTAGAGGATTTTGATACTGGTTATTAATGGGGAATGACCACTGTGGCCTGCTTGGCTGTGGTCTGGTTGGTTGTGAATGTGGTTAGTTTTGGGAAGGCACGTTTATAAATCCGGATTGTTGCCCTCTATTAACTGCATGGTTTGCACGGAACGCTTGGTTCTCTAACTTTAAACAAAGATGTTAAGCTGAAGGAAGATCGGTTGGTTCCTTCATACCGAGAAGACGAGATAAATCTCCGCGAAGTCCGCGCACAAAAGTGTCTAAGGCTTTGTCCCTAGATATTTGTCCCTGACATAGAGTTGTCATTTGGTATTCAAGAGTGCTTAAATCCCGCTTATCTGCGTAGTGCAAAATTAGACATTTAGAAATGGCATTCCAGTTGAGTGGAGTATTATAAGATTCTAACGCAGTGTCTGCGTTTCCCGTGATTTTATTACGTATGGTATGTAGAATCCCAAAATACTTAGATGTGCCTACAGTGTGTTCATATGTTTCAAGAACTCTATCCACACCCTTTTTCCAAGAACTGAATTCTGTTGGGTTGCCAGAAAATTCCCGTAAGCTTTTTACGATGTCTGGTACCCTATCCAAACTTTCGAGGTTAGCTCGATTTTCATAGGAAATTTCCTGATTTGGAATCTGTGCAAAATCGAATCCTGTGTTTTGAGCTTGTTGTAATAGGACCGGTAATTGTTCAGCAATTATTTGTCTGACTGCTTCTTGTAACTCTAATGCTGCCATATTGTCTCTGTGTTCCTGATGTAATTCCTGTCTATGAATTTGTCTTTGATTTTGAACTATTTTAGCTTGATGTTGTTCTACCTGATTTAAATTATTATTTTGAAGTTGTTTTGGCTGATGTTGAGGTTGTTCTTGAGGTTGTAAATCAATGACGGGTGGTCGTATAAGATTATGCCGATTGGCCATAGGAGATTTTTTTCATGGGTCTGTCTTACGATAAAAATGATTGTTAAGTATAATTCATATAAATATTAAGTTTCAAAATTAATTATTATTTTTTTTTTTAAATGATAAGGAATGAATGTTTCATTTGCTTAAATTAATTTTGTGAATTTAATTCGAATTTTAATTAAATAGTAGGATAATAAATTTCCAGGATAATAAAAACCCAAAAAATAAGTTTTAAACGTTTGATTTATTCGGAGTTCAATTTGAGACTGATCTAAGCTGTGGGTTGGGGCAGCGACGTCGACGTCGCGGAAGAGACCGCGGCGGTGGCCTAGTTCTGGTGGAGCGGCTGAAACTGCAAGGTTTGCAGAATCGGCATTTTGGTACTGCGCTGTGGCTGCTGACCGGATGCGTGTGTTTATGTTATTGAACTTGGGGGTTCTTGGTGTGTTTATGTTATTGAACTTTCGGGCTCTTGACCGTTGTATTGAAATGTTGCAATGTTGCCATCGACAATGTTGCAATATTTCTCGGAAAAAATGTAGAAATATTTCTGTGATTAACTTACATATGAAAACAAGAAAAAACTCGAGTATTTTAGTCTTACTCACAATCAACTCATTCACATCCTTCACTAAATCGAATCGATCACGATCTGTTCGAGATGATTGCGGGTTCGGCAACGTTCATTTCATGGACTCGAACACGAACATGATGCACGAGCATGATTATTCTCCGAATTTTTATTTCGGGTGTGCATCACTCACGATCACATTTCTGCAGAATGAGTTGAGCTGAATTGAATTTGGGCACGCTGATTGAGTTGACTCGATCATACTCGTTGCAGATCTCTGATAGGCATATAAATTGAAATGTAGTCGTTTTAAAATTAGGCTTGCCGAAGTTTGCTTCCTTTCTTGTTGGAGAATATAATTTACAGAATATTCTGCAAGGGTATATTAACTTCGGCTCCGCCCGAAGCTAGCTTTTTTTTCTTGTTTTAATATGTTTTCCAACACAGTAGTAATTTGTTCGTTGGCTTACATTAATTTTAAAGAACATTTACAAAGGGAAAATACATTTTTTTCTCGGTTTATTGGCTTTCCTTGAATTTCATAAGGATCGGCCGACTAATCCTGTTTGTAAAGTTAGGAAGTTGGGATTTTCTATGGGTTTTATTTTTGGCCAATCAATCCGGCCTACCAAATTTCATAAGGATCGGCCGACAATATCCTATAGCTGCCATATAACTGAACGATTGGAAATGCCATAACTTTGGTGTTTGTAAAGTTAGGAAGCTGGGATTTCCTATGAGTTTTATATTTGGCCAATCAATCCGACCTACCAAATTTCATAAGGATCAGCCGACTATATCCTATAGCTGCCATATAACTGATTGATCGGAAATGCCATAACTTTGGTGTTTGTAAAGTTAGAAAGTTGGGATTTCCTGTGGGTTTTATTTTTGGCCAATTAATCCGACCTACCAAATTTCATATGGATCGGCCGACTATATCCTGTAGCTGCCATATAACTGAACGATTGAAAATGACATAACTTTGGCGTTTTTAAAGTTAGGAAGTTGGGATTTTTTACGAGTATTAAGAATGCATCAAATGAATAATTTTAGAGAATATAATTTACAGAGTATTCTGCAAGGGTATATCAACTTGGGCTCCGCCCGAAGTTAGCTTTCCTTTCTTGTTTTATATTAAATTTATTAGCTTATCATTCTTGTTATTTTTTTTTTATTCTTTGGGATTTGGTAATTTTTAAATATTATGGAATTAAGGTTTTGATTAAATCAAAATCGGACAACAATACCATTTAGCTGCCATAGAAACGATGGCAAAATGCAGCGCAAAGTCGACATAGCTTAATTGTTTTTAGTAGTATAGGCATATAAATCGAAATGTAGTCGATTTGTAATAACTGCAAGGGTAAACTTCGGCTTGCCGAATATTGATTTCTTTCTTGTTTTTATGTGAACTTTATTTTCAATTGCCACTTTTTTCGCAAAGATTTTACTAAAAATTTTCTAATTAGTCTACTATTCCCTTTAATATTTAATAAACTCTTCCTTTTTGTTTTTATAAAATTTGAGTAATTGATGTATTGGCCCCGGTTGTACGTTATCGAACTATTTTTAAACACCGAACCTGGGTAACATTTTGTTTTTACATTATTATCATTCATTACTCATTGGAGTTGTCTTATGTCTATGCCCAACAATGTGGTATAAGAACGCCATTATGGAGTAATTGAATTTCATAATTGTTTCCCGTTTTAATGCCTTCGCTGTTTAGGCCTTACAGCTTAGTTAAAAATGAATGAGTATATATTTTGATTTAAATGATTCACTTAAATTTTTTTCAACGAAAACAGTAAAAAGTCTGAAATCTACCCGGATACTGCAGCACCGAGCACAAATATTATATATGAATGTTATTCTATATAAATCGATAATATAGGATGTGTATTCATAAGTTTGCCTGCTAATAAAGAGTCGTTCATATATTACGTATTCATCGAGGAGGTTAGGTCGGTCAGTTCACAATTTTGTCGCCAGACCTTTAATAATGTAATATATGAACAGCTCCTAAAATAAAGAAGATAGCAGCAAACTTTACCTGCTTAAAAACGTACCTCACATTTACTTTCATTTTCCATTTGGTTCATGGGACGACATCGAACTACAACCTTTATATTTTCGCTCATTTTTGGTCGTTAGACAAAACATGTCCAATTGTGTGAACGAAATAGCAGGTACTAAACTAAAGCTACTAGAAGCTCATGTAAAGCTTCAAATTCGAAATAATGTTTTGAGGCTGCTCGTGCCTGAACTAAAAAATGTTAATCTAGTACCGCGAGTTTGTCATTGTTTAGGAGCGCAACTCCATAACTAAGAAAAAATGTGATTAAAGTTTTGAAAATTGTCAATAATAATGCTTTTTATGGTCACACACCGCGTAGTTTCTTAATATAATTTTTCCGAAAGTACAATAGAGGCACTAGAGTCCACACAAAACTCGTATCTGATAAAAGAGCAACCTTTTTTTTTAAATTTATTTATATTCTTGCAGAGGGTATTATAATTTCAGTCAAATGTTTGCAACGCAGTGACCCTATAAAGTATGTATATTCTTGAGCATCTCCAGGAAATCGATCTAGCCATGTCAGTCTGTCCGTCCGTCCACCCGTCCGTCTGTTCGTCCGTCCGTTTTTACGCAAACTAGTCTTTTAAAGCTATCTGCTTGAAACTTTCCCAAAATTTGCCATTCTATTGCAGGTAGTATATATGTAAGTCGGAACGAGACGGATCGGGCAACTATATCATTTAGCTCCCATAGGAACAAATAAAAGTATAACTTTCTTGTTTTTAATTATTTTGTTTCGTTCTTTTAGATTTGGTAATGTTTAAGGTTGTTATTAAATTAAAATAGCTCCCATAGGAGAATCAAAAAATGCTATTCATCAAAATATTCCTTTGAGATTTTTATTTTCAATTACCACTTTCTTCGCAAAGATATAATTCACTTAGAACAGCTTTTGATGGTGATGATTTTACTAAAAATTGTCTAATTAGTATACTATTTCCTCAAAAATTTAACAAACTCTTCCAGGTTAGTGTACTTTTTCCTGACCAATATGTCCTTATGCTATGTCTGTGTAAAAACAAGAAAGGAAAGCAGAATACTCTGTAAATTATATTCTCCAAAATTATTCATATGATACATTCTTAATACTCATAAAAAATCCCAACTTCATAACTTTAACAAGAAAGGAAAGCTAACTTCGGGCGGAGCCGAAGTTGATATACCCTTGCAGAATACTCTTGATATTATATTCTCCAAAATTATTCATATGATGCATTCTTAATACTTATAAAATATCCCAACTTCCTAACTTTAAGAACACCAAAGTTATGGCATTTCCGATCGTTCAGTTATATGGCAGCTTTAGGATATAGTCGGCTGATCCTTATAAAATTTGATAGGTCGGATTGATTGGCCAAATATAAAACCCATAGGAAATTCCAGCTTCCTAACTTTACAAACACCAAAGTTATGGCATATCCGATCAATCAGTTATATGGCAGCTATAGGATATAGTCGGCCGATCCTTATGAAATTTGGTAGGTCGGACTAATTGGCCAAATATAAAAGCCATAGAAAATCCCAGCTTCCTAACTTTACAAACACCAAAGTTATGGCATATCCGATCAATCAGTTATATGGCAGCTATAGGATATAGTCGGCCGATCCTTATGAAATTTGGTAGGTCGGATTGATTGGCCAAATATAAAACCCATAGGAAATTCCAGCTTCCTAACTTTACAAACACCAAAGTTATGGCATATCCGATCAATCAGTTATATGGCAGCTATAGGATATAGTCGGCCGATCCTTATGAAATTTGGTAGGTCGGACTAATTGGCCAAATATAAAAGCCATAGAAAATCCCAGCTTCCTAACTTTACAAACACCAAAATTATGGCATTTCCGATCAATCAGTTATATGGCAGCTATAGGATATAGTCGGCCGATCCCGGCCGTTCTGACATATATACTGCGTGCAAAGGAAAGAAGGGAGTGTGCAAAGTTTGAACTCGATAGCTTAAAAACTGAGAGACTAGTTCGCGTAGAAACAGACAGACGGACAGACAGACGGACAGACAGACGGACAGACGGACAGACGGACAGACGGACATGGCTATATCAACTCAGGAGGTGATCCAGATCAAGAATATATATACTTTATAGGGTCGGAGATGTCTCCTTCACTGCGTTGCACACTTTTGACCAAAATTATAATACCCTCTGCAAGGGTATAAAAACAATAAAGTTATGGCATTTCCAATCGTTCAGTTATATGGCAGCTATAAGATATAGTCGGCCGATCCCTATGAAAGGAAGTTAGGATTTTCTATGGGTTTTATTTTTGGCCAATCAATCCGACCTACCAAATTTCATAAGGATCGCCCGTCTATATCCTATAGCTGCCATATAACTGATTGAAAATGCCATAACTTTGGTGTTTTTAATGTTACGAAGTTGGGATTTTTTATGAGTATTAAGAATGCATCATATGAACAATTTTGGAGAATATAATTTACAGAATATTCTGCAAGGCTATATCAACTTCGGCTCCGCCCGAAGTTAGCTTTCCTTTCTTGTTTAAGTTGAAAGGGTTTATCAGTTCCACATTTACATTTGTTTTTGTGTAACATGTATTTAGCAGAAATTTATTTAACAATTTTTATTATAGTTCGCATTGAAGCTGCTAAGATAAAATTATATGTATTTTAATTAATATAATTTTTGTAAGGACTCTATGTAGGTGCGAAACCAAAAGTTTTATAAAAGCTTCCCGAAAACACTTGATAATGAGGAAAGCCATCTGCTCGAATAACTAATCCAGCAGCTTTCCCTACGCTTTATTCAAACTCTGGTATTTTTATTCCCTTGCAGAGGGTGTTATAATTTTGGTCAAAAGTGTGCAACGCAGTGAAGGAGACATCTCCGACCCTATAAAGTATATATATTATTGATCAGGATCGCGTCCTGAGTTGATATAAGCATGTACGTCTGTCTGTTTATACGCGAACTAGTCTCTAAGTTTTAAAGATATCGAATTGAAATTTTGCATACACCCTTCGTTCATATGCACGCAGTATATATGTCGGAACGGCCGGGATCGGCCGACTATATCCTATAGCCGCCATATAACTGATTGATCGGAAAAGCCATATCTTTGGTGTTTGTAAAGTTAGGAAGTTGGGATTTGGCTATGGGTTTTAGTTTTGGCCAATCAATCCGACCTACCCAATTTCATAAGGATCGGCTATATCCTATAGCTGCCATATAACTGAACGATTGAAAATGCCATAACTTTGGTGTTTAAGAATGCATCATATGAATAATTTTGGAGAATATAATTTACAGAATAGTCTGCAAGGGTATATCAACATCGGCTCCGCCTGAAGTTAACTTTCCTTTCTTGTTTTACTCGATGTTGAAACCAATACTTTGAATTCAATCAAAATGCGATAACATTTCGGATCAATTGCTTGAATTATACGCTGTATATTCGTAATTTTATCACAAAGTCCAACTGCACAGAAAAACCTAAAAACTTTCACACACTGATAGAAGCTTTCACGACAGAACTTTACCTATGTTAAAACCAATGAAGTTTGGCATCCCACAATTGCAAAAAGCTTAACTGATCGTAACATTGGGGAGTTTCTGACGCTCTGCTTCCATCCCCGTAGATAGCTGATGAGTCTGAGGTGACGTGCAGACGAAACTAGCTAGTCCTATCATATTCGGGTTCCCTCCCCAATGAGTGCAAGTGTGATAAAAGTTAGCTGGAAAAAATCGTTGTGTTATAGAAGAAATTAAAATATAACCAACGTGTGACCTCGAGTAATCCAATAATACTACAATTCTTGGTGTTAATTTGAAAATGAGTAAAACTATCCAAAACCAATTTGGTGAAGAAGAAGTCTTGGTACTTAAAAAACATTTTAAACTAAAAAGTGATACAAAAATATTTTTAAAAATAAATTTATTTAACAGAAATAAAAAAAAAACAAGAAAGGAAAGCTAACTTCGGGCGGAGCCAAAGTTGAAATACCCTTGCAGAATATTCTGCAAATTATATTCTCCAAAATTATTCATATGATGCATTCTTAATACTCATACAAAATCCCAACTTCCTAACTTTAAAAACACCAAAGTTATGGCATTTCCAATCGTTCAGTTATGTATATGGCAGCTATAGAATATAGTCGGCCGATCCTTATGAAATTTGATATGTCGGATTGATTGGGCAAAAATAAAACCCATAGAAAATCCCAACTTCCTAACTTAACAAACATCAAAGTTATGGCATTTCCGATCAATCAGTTATATGGCAGCTATAAGATATAGTCGGCCGATCCTTATGAAATTTGGTAGGTCGGATTAATTGGCCAAATATAAAACCCATAGAAAATCCCAACTTCCTAACTTAACAAACAGCAGAGTTATGGCATTTCCGATCAATCAGTTATATGGCAGCTATAGGATATAGTCGGCCGATCCCGGCCGTTCCGACTTATATACTGCGTGCAAAGGAAAGAAGGGTGTGTGCAAAGTTTCAATTCGATATCTTTAAAACTGAGAGACTAGTTCGCGTAGAAACTGACAGACGGACAGACAGACGGACAGACGGACAGACGGACATGGCTATATCAACTCAGGAGGTGATCCTGATCAAGAATATATATACTTTATAGGATCGGAGATCTCTCCTTCACTGCGTTGCACACTTTTGACCAAAATTATAATACCCTCTGCAAGGGTATAACAAGAAAGGAAAGCTAACTTATATCCTTACTTAACAAACACCAAAGTTATGGCATTTCCGATCAATCAGTTATATGGCAGCTATAGGATATAGTTGACTTTATATTGCAGGTAGTATATAAGTCGGAACGAGTCGGATCGGGCGACTATATCATATAGCCGCCATATAACTGACTGATCAGAAATGCAATAACTTTTGTGTTTGTAAAGTTAGGAAGTTGGGATTATCTATGGATTTAATTTTTGGCCAATTAATCCGACCTACCAAATTTCATAAGGATCGGCCGACTATATCCTATAGCTGCCATATAACAGAACGATTGGAAATGCCATAACTTTGGTGTTTTTATACCCTTGCAGAGGGTA